TGACGCAAAACCAGAATGGGTGTCTGAATGGTTAGCATGTATATTAGAAGGGAATGGGCAAAACATGTGTTCTAAAATATCAGTACCACATATACCAAGGGTTACTCTTATGATAATATCAGAATCATTTACTGCAACGTTGGGAATATCCGTTTTTTTGGTGTTTGGCACTAGTATAAATTTATGGGCAGAGTGGAAGGTTTATTTTATAAATAGGTTTGGGGAATTGTCAGTTGATAATAATATACCCAACGCTTATAAATAGAAAAAAAGAAGAAAAATGGAAATCGTCTGATATTCCATCCATTTAATCTTTTCCATTAATTTACTATTTATTTCTTGTACAGTCTTCTCTTTTGATTTTTTGAATCATAGATTATACATATCACATTTATATATATATATATTCACAGTAAAAAAATTCATTACTATATATAATAATATATTCTTCCAACAAACGAACCTTTTTAAGTTATCTTTATGATAAATTTATAACAATAAGGTTCATTACATTGCATATCCAGGATTTTTAACTCTACTCAATATTAATTATTGAATAATATATTGAAAATAAAACTTTTTATCATTAATAATAATATAACCTGTCAACTTTTCTTTTAAATTCCAACAGGTTGAATTATATCCACAAACTAATCTATCAGAGTATCTTGTTTCTCTTCACATTCTCTTGACCTTTGTTCCTCCACATTTATGTGTTGCAAGCATCTAACTCCTTGCCATAAATAAATCTTTCTTTATAAAATAACTTTGTCTGTTTTCTATGTCACGAATAATCGAAAAGGCATTATCATTCATTTCATAATAAATTACACAATTATTTTTATTTCCAAGACTTCAGCGATAATTCAGCAGTGCATCTGTTTATTTTATTAAAAAGTTGTAAGGGTTTAAGGAACATTGGTGGAAGTTTTGCTTATGTCAAAGTATTGGTGAACTGCCGCCAGGTATCAGATGTTGTCATACAATAGATAGCTATTGAATCTTACCATCCTTTGTTGTTGTCGGATTGTGTTTATTTGCATAGTAATATATAAATATATAGTAAGTAAATGTAGAGATAGTTGGTGTTATTCAATTGCTTGATGAAAGAGTAAATTTCTCAATACTCCACTCCCTTGTTTTCCTTACGCGACGTGTAAA